TTAAATCCTTATCAGTTATATGATTTGCAAATATTTTCTCCCAGTCTATAGATTGTATTTGTACTTTCTTGATAATGTCCTTTGATGCACAAAAGATTTTAATTTTGATGAAGTCCAGTTTATCTATTTTTTCTTTTGTTGCTTTTGCCTTTGGTGTCAAATGTAAGAATCTGTTGCCAAATATGACATCATGAAGATTTACTCCTATGTTTTCTTCTAAGAGTTTTATGGTTTTAGCTTTCATATTAAGGTCATTGATCCATTTTGAATTAATTTTTGTATATGGTACAAGGTAAAGGTTCAACTTTATTCTTTTGCCTGTGGAAATCCATTGTCCCAGCACCGTTCATTGAAGAGACTTCTTTCCCCACTGATCGAACTTGGCACTCTTGTTAAAAATCAATTGGCCATGGATGTGTGGGTTTATTTCTGGACTCTCAATTCTATTCCATTGATCTATATGTCTATCCTTATGCCAGTACCATACTGTTTGGATTACTGTAGCTTTGTAGTAAGTTTTGAAATCTGGAAATGTCAGTTTTCTGACTTTGTTTTTCTTTTTCAAGATTGTCTTGGATATTTGGGGCCCCTTGAGATTCTATACAGATTTGAGAATAGCCTTTTCCATTTCTGTAAAAAAAGGCTGTTGAAACTGATAAGGACTGCACTGAATGTGTAGATTGCTTTGGTTAGTATGGACATCTTAACAGTATTAAGTCTTCCTTACCCAAGAGCGCAGGATGTCTTTCCATTTACTTAGGTCTTCTTTATTTTCTTTCAGCAATCTCTAAACCTTTCTTGAACCTATTTGTGTCTATGACTTACATAACCTCTCAGGATAATGAGAGCCATATGTTTCCTTTATCCACTACGTAAATTAGACTTAAAGCCAATAGATGATGCTATCTCTTTCAATTTTTGCAAGCCCCCCTAATTTCAGTATTTTCAATTTTGGTAAGCAAATCCCAGGATGTGCTATTGTTAGCCCTCATGATTTCTTTGATATTATATACATGCCCTCTCAGCCACCATCTTCACAGATTAAAAATTCTCACTCTTTTTGGTGTCTCCTCACACGGAGTTTTATCAGTTGCCATTCTCCCAGTTCTGTTTTGTTTCTGATCCAATAAGCAAACTTAGATCCAACCAAGTTGTGTGCTGCTCAGCCTGCTTTAACATTTGGGTGGGAGAGACCCAGTGTAGTGAAAAAGAGAACAATAAACCTCATCCCATGAGCCCCATTCAAAAGTGGAATGTTGACCATGTCTCCAGCTGCCATGGAAGAAGTACTGGGAACCCATGGCCATGATCCCTGGGGGTCACAGGGTGAGGAGCCACAGAGTGAATGAGAAAAGCCAGAGAAGCAGAGAGGATTTCCAGCTGGGGGTTTAGGGGAGATCCCATGGGGAGAAACCACCTGAATTGGGGCATCAGGGGAGGAGGGCGCCTAGACTCACAATTAATGGAATTTCCTCAGAAAGCAGAGTTGAATTTTCATGAACAGGCTTCAGGAGGAATCTGAAACTTCTAAAAATGAACACTAAATTTTAGATGTATTAGGACATGTGCATTTTATGAAAAGTCCATGGCTTTCATTAGATTCTCAAAAAAGTAGGTCAGCATCAAGAGAGATCCTTTCTAATGAGGGACTGATCAGAGTGCTCATTTTGCACTTGTTAGAGAGCTCACTGTGGACGTGGGGAATTACCATGTGATGTGGGCCAGAGGTTGATGCTTCGGGGGCTCTTAACTAGATTCAAGGTGCTTTCATTATCCTAAAATCGTGCATTTGTGTTATGTTTTTATCTTAGTGCATTTTTCAGGAAATAGTCACTTTCATTCGATTCTCAGAGGTCATGAGCCCAATAACTAAGCACTTTCCTTCTACACAGCATGAATAGTTGGTCCTTGACCACCAGCAGCTGTCTCCCAAAGCTCAGCGTTGATGGGCATATGTTAAAATAATTGCTTATTTATTAATCTACAAATAGACAATAACGTTGGCATGTTCTTTTCTGTTTGTTAATGTGCCTGCTTCTTAACAATTCACTTTACTTTTATGAAAGCAATTTATGTTACTTTTCTGGTCTTTTCATGTCTTAGGGAGCAAATAAACTATTTATACTACAAAAAAACCAAACAAACAAAAAACTAAGAACACGAAGGCAAGTTCTCCCAGTGAGGAGACACGAGATGTAAACTGTAGAGTGAGAGGTGGAGGTGGTGCAAAGGAGGGAGACCCAGGTGGGACAGACAGCAAGAGACTTTAGATATCAGAGAACAGTGCTGAGTTCCTGGCTGCTGAAGGACCAGGTGGAGAAACCCAGACTTTGAGACAGGGACAGAAGAAAAATAATTCACACTGGGAAGCTTCAGAGTCGACTTTCAGAGCTCAGTGCAAGAGCTTACTCCTGGCAGGTCTTGATTCCCCAGTCTTGATGACAATGACCAGCCCCTGAGCCTGGAGCCTCTTCCAGGGGCTCGCTGAGAGCACGAGCCTCGCCCTTCCTGGGCTCTCCCTCCAGAACAGGCACTCTCCAGAGCAGCTTTGGACCCAGAGGGGCCCGACGGGCCTGGCACATAACAGATGTCCTGAGTGGCTAGACGTGGCTCCCTACCCCTCCCTAAAGGCCGAGGACCCTCCTGTTCTCAGAAGGTGACCCTCCGCGGACTAGGCTGCCACATCAATCATGTGGGCATGACGATCATGCTGACTCTCTGCTGGGTGTGTATTCCAAAGATAAGCCGTGCCAAACGGTCCTCTAACTGTGTTGATGACACACAGGCGGAGTTTGCTGGAAAAGGGATCATGCAAAATCTCCAGCACCCGCTGCTCCCAGCTCTGCCTTACGATGGGCCTGGGATGGCGGGCTCCCCGTTCACTCACCCGTGTGCTGCTTCCAAAGCAGGTAGCAGGACTATTGGCAAAGCAGAGTCGCGGGAAGACCTGAGAACGGGCACAAAACTTTCGGTTAGTTTCCTGGCTGAGACTTCCCTTTTTGCCTAGTCTCAAGGGACCCTGGCTTTTGTGGTAGGAGGAACTGAGGCGAGTGGGAGCAGACCGGAGCACGATGCCACTCAGCACCCACACGGAGGAAGGTCTTCTGTGGGCAGAGGAGGCCCCCACACAGCGCCCGGGGCCCTGGCCAAGCACTCAAGAACATGTAGCTGCTCCTGCCTTTTCCAGACCAGCCTTGGTCTCTGCCTGCCCAGAGAAACAACTGTTCCCATTTTGACCAACTTGACTGGAGAGTACGACAATTGACACCTGACCAGCAACAGACCGCCCAAACCATAAAATGAACGTCATCATGTTTTCTCACGGACAAACTGCCCTTTTGTTTTCTTTGCTCTTCTATGATGGCATCTGCTGGCTGCTGAGTCACACTGCAGGTGACGTGCAGCCCACCCCATATGTATGAGCTCTTTGGCCATTTGCAGCCTGTGGTTCCCCCATGAGTCAGTAAAATGGGGACGTCACCGGGCAGATGTTACGGAGGTGACGCGGTGTCACAGGGCGTGTGCCAGGGGTGAGTTCTGAATCTCTGAGGAGGAAAACTCGCAGTCAAGTTTCTTTCGAATTAGCTGAGTCATGGCTGCTTCAAGGACAATGCTCAGCTCTGGAAACCAACAGCAAACCCCAAATGTGCGGCGCTGTGTGTGGTGAAAATTCAGAAGCTTCTATAAAATGTTATTTCGAGTAGAACTTGATCCTTTTTTTCTGATAAAACCTTTAATTTTCTATAAAACTTTAAAAATCAAAATGTAGAAAAGTTAATTTCTTACTCATGCTAAAGTAATAAACAGTGGTTTGTATATTTAAAGATTTAAATCAACTTCCAAATTTACAGTTTGCTCTAAATTCGGTACAGAAGGGGGGAGGGGACAGGAGAATGGGGAAGACCCGGGTGAGAGATTTCACAACCTACTCAAAATGTGATCAAGGTATCTAGTCTTTTAATGTCTGCAGTGATGTTGACTCATGAGTTTGGTTGGTTGGTTGAGTTGGTTTTTGGATAGAGCATCTTCCTGAAATCTCGAAGGAGTCAAATCAAGCGTCTTTTAAGATGCTCTTCTGTTCCCCAAAGCATCTTTGCTTCTTCTGGGGTGCTGAGTCCTCTCAAGTCCTGGGCAGCTGGGTTGTGCAGTCCCAGTGGGGTGAAGGCTCTGTGGAGGCAGCTGGAGCGGATTTCCTATACTCTCCCTGGTGCAGGGGGCTGACCCTGCTCTGGAGATGTGAGCTTGGGGGTGGAAGGTGGGCTCCCCTCAGGCTGCGCAGGCTGAGCTCCCCCCGACCCATCCAGTGCCCAGGCAGGAGGCCCAGAGGGGACCTCAGAGCCGGCCCCTCCTGGGAGATCCCTGGGGGAGCACGCTTGAGCCGCACCAGTGGTGGAGAAGTTGGGCAGCAGAGAAGCCAGGCAGACCCGTCTCCTGTCTGTCCTCAGATCTCCCAGGCAGGTGGGAGCATCCCTGTGGGAGCCTCATCGCCGTCTTGGGGGGCCGGGGGTGCCACCTGAGGCACTACACTTCCTCTCTGATTCATCAGACAGATAAATCCTCACACCCTCTGTCTCCCAGTCGCTTCTTTAACCCTTTGGTCTGCTGATATTTCTCTCCCCTCCTCCTCTCAAGCTGGTGTGACTTTATCGCACTTGTCCTGGGCTTGTTTAGGGCATGATGGGAGGTCCATGGGCCAGAATCACCCACGGCTTCTACAAGTCTCCCTCCGCCCAGATCTATGTCCCTAGGAAATTCCTTCACAGACACCTTTATGGAATATTTCCCCCAAACGCTCTGGCCCTCCCTCACTCTGCCAGCACAGCATCTTAAAATTGAATGTCCCTGGACTACCGGTGTCACGGAAGCCAGCGCCTGAGGCTTTCTACTGGGTCAACTTTCCATGCCCCCTTTTGGTGGTAAGCTTTTATTTTATGAGGCCCTATCCAATGGCTCTAAGCCGGACACAGAAACGCCAGAACTCCTGATCACAGCCTCCACCTTGCCTCCTGTCCTGCTCTCTATGCCTCCAGCTTTCCATTTCTTTCTGCCCCCTCGTCCCCTCTCCCCTCCCCTCTCCCCTCCCCTCTCC